TTCTAATCTGTCCTTTGATATAAGGGGTCTTATGATCCCTATACTGGGTAGCCAATGACTGTAGAATCTTACAGATTACTATTATCTGATTCTTTGAATCACAGGTCAGACTAAGTATTGTAGCCTTGTGTTTCCATTTTACCATTTTGAAATTACCTACTGATAACATTATAATTATTATATGGATAAAATTATCTACTGATACAATTATCTGCTGATACAATTATACAATTTCTTCCCAAATAGAATATATATGTTTCCTATTATGGTTGTTTAAAAAATTGTCATAGAAAGTGGTGCTGTGGCTCAAAGTGCTTGAGCAAAAAGCTCAAGAGACAGTGCCCTGAGTTCAAGCCCCACAACTGACCCCCCAAAAAAAAACCCAAGCACCCCAAAACAGAAAAAGTCACAGGGGTGGGAGGTGTGGCTCTGGTGGTAGAGTGCCAGCCAATGAGCAAAAGCACCAGATACCAAGTTTGAGTCCCAGTCCTGGACCCCCCCAAAAATAATTGTCACAAAATTAGAGTCTTAGAAAGCTTATTTTATTATCTTTCAACTCTGGAGGCCCCAAGTAGATGATCAGGTTCACTAGACTAAAGTCCAGGTGTCAGTTGGATTACTTCCTCCTGAACATGCTCAGGGACAAAACCATTGCTTGGCCTCTTAGATTCTATGCATTGCTCAAACATCTTCTGTGACAACATTTACTACTGTTGAGTAAATCTCCTGCCTTTAAACTTTTAGGATCTTAATACTTTGAGCCCACTTGGATAACCAGTTAACCACCCTAACTCAAAGTTCTTAATCATATGTACAAAATCCCTCTAAACTTGTAACATAGTCTCAGATTCTAAAGATAAAAGCATGGGTATATTAGAAGCCTATTATTCAGCCTCACAGGCCTCTTTGACATCATGGACTAAAGTTTATTCTGACATTACATGGTCCCTGGTACATATTCTGCACTGGAAATACCCAAAATACTAAAAGCTATAAAGTTACCAACTACACTAAATATAAAGACATCTTCAAATGTCTTAGTTTATTAAGAAATGTATTCTTTCAGTTGTTATTTTAAAGTCACCAAATAATGGCATTTGCAAGGAAATGGATGGAACTAGAGCAGATTATTTTGAGCGAAGTAAGCCAAGAACAAAAAGACAAACGGCACATGGTCTCCCTGATATGTGGATGCTAAAGCCAAAATACAAGAAGATATGGCAAACAGGACTCAAGAAACAAAGGACAGCCACCCATTTTGTCATATCATTGCTAAACGACTCCATGTTCTAGACCATATATATGGTAGAAATATGCAGGCAATAGAGGGAAGCCAGGAGGAGGAACAGAAAAAGTGAGAACAGCCCACACTATGCAAAAGGAAAGAAATGTAAACATCACTTGATGTGGAAAAAATAACTTGTAATGTGAAAGCTCATAGAATTCACAAACTGTATAGACCATGATAATGACAATTTGCCTTGTGAAAGTTAAAATGTGTTTGTGACTCTAAGTATTACTATTCCACAATACTGTGAAATATGTGAAATTTATGTCATCACCTAATCTCAATTAAAGAAAAAAAGTGGGAGAAGAGATGGGTTAGGAGAGATGAGATAGTGACAATGTTGTCAGACACTTTGTACTCATATACTGTTTTGTAGAATGGCAACTTCTTTGTACAACTACTTAAAGCTAATAAAAAATAACAATAAAGTGCTGTCACCAAGCCAGGCAGAATGACTCATGCCTGTGACCCTAAGTCCTTGGGAGGTAAGATTGGGAGAATTGTGGTTCGAGGCCAACCTGATACCCTATTCAGAAAATAGTGAATGCCAAATGGGCTAAAAAAAAAAATTACTCAAGCCGGACACTGGTGACTCATGCTTGTAATTGTAGCTACTCAGGAGGCTGAAATTTTGAGGATTGTGGTTCAAAGCCAGCCTAGGCAGGAAAGGCTGTGAGACTCTTATCTCCTTTAATAAACCACCAGAAAACCAGAAGTGGCACTGTGGCTCACATGGTAGAGCGCTCACCTTAAGCTGAAGAGCTGAGAGACAGTGCCCAGGCCCAGAGTTCAAGCCCCACAGCCGATAAAAAATAAAAAAAAAAGATTACTCAAATGGTAGAACAACTGCGTAGCAAGCATGAGTTCAAATCCCAGTAGTACCGAAAAACCAAAACAAAATCTGGGTCTCTTAAGTTATTAAATCAGCTTATTTTGAAGACTGTATTATTATTAATATATTTATTTTCTTTGTGGTGCTGGGGATCAAGCATAAGGTCTTTTGAATGCTGGCAAGTATACTACTACTCAATGCCCATTGTGAGATGAATGATAAAGATGAATAATGCACAATGGAGCATTGTTCAGCCATCAACGAGAATAAAATCATGTCATTTGCTGGAAAAGGAATTGAACTGGAGATCATCATGTTGACCAAAATAAGCCAGATAAGTATTAAATATTTCCTCTCATATGTGAAATCTAAACAACAACAACAAAAGGATTCTGAAAGTAAAAGAGGGACTAATACAGAAAATGGATGGAGGAAAGAAAGGGCAAGAAAGTATTAGGGAAGGAAAGTGGGTTTGAGCAAAGCATGATCTTATATGTATGTGTGGAAATGACATGAAACTCATTAACCTGTACAATTAATGTGAGCTAATAATAACTTTTTAAAAAGAATTACATGTGGAAAAGCACAGCAAGAAATACTGAGTAAATGCCAAGCTGCAGATGACCAAGAATTCCAAGCTAAGAAGTTCTTTCTGTAGCCAGAGTTGGTGGCTCATATCTATAATCCTAGCTACTCAAGTGGCTGAGATCTGAGGATCACGGTTCAAAGCTAGCCAGGGCAGGAAATTCTGTGAGACTCTTACCTCCAATAAAACTCAGGAAACTGGAAGTGGTGCTGTGCTCAAGTGGTAGAGCACTAGCCTTGAGCTGAAGAGCTGAGGGACAGCACCCAGGCCCAGAGTTCAAGCCCCATGACTCACAAACAAAAAAAAAAAAAAAAGTTCTTTCTGAAATGAGAGCTCAGCTTAAATCATATTTGAGGTTTCTTTCAGGGAGGTGAAAAGGGCTCCGTGCCAGGCCCAGTGGACATTACCTCACTCATCCTATCCTTGTTTTAGGAGATAGACATCAGGATCTATATGGAACTTTTAGCTCCATCCACATGCGGGCCTGGTGCCTTGTCAGGATTGTGTTTTAGATGTGGCCCATGAATAAGACAAGATTTCCGTGTACCTTAAGAATGTGTGAAAAACAGATTTTTTTTTTGAAGTCCCACTAAGTGCTTGGGCCAGGGCCGGAATCCAGAGAGGGTCCTGGCAACTGCCTGGCAGGGCCTTTGGGGCTGGCACCAGCTCAGTGCCAAGGCTAGCCTGGGGCCAGGAGGCACAGGATTGGAGGAGGGAGCCAGGCCAGCCTAGGGGGCGTGGCCTTTTGCACGAGGGGCGGGGCCTGAGCGGGACGCCGAGTTGGACTGTGGGGTGGGGTGGGGTGGGGGCGCCCAGTGCTTGGTCACCACACAGAGGCTGCAGACCGCAGGCCGAAGCCAAGCTGAACCGGTCCCTTGCATCCCGCACCTGAGCCTGTCTCTTGTCTCGTATCTCTTGTCTCCCGCAGGGTGGAACGGAGAGATTGTTTCCAGCATGCTGCTGCGGGGAAGCCAGGCGCTCCGACGCTTCTCCACTGGCCGGGTGAGTCCAGCTCTGGAGAGCCTTCTGGCTCACCCCCAGACCTTGGAGCAGCAGGGCTGAGGGCGATCAACGAGGCTTAGATCTTGCTAAAAAGGGAGGACAGCAATTTTCGAGAGAAATGTCCAGAAAAGAGTCCTGTATAGGAGCTGTCAAGCCTTTGTCTTCTACGGGGAAGGGACTGCCAGAGGGTATGTCTGGCTGGGATGATAAGGTGGAAACCGTCCCAAATCTGGGAGACAGAGCCTGTCTCCCTGTCTTTTCCTTTGTCATTTCAATAGTGAAATTCCCTAGTCTAGAGATGGAGTCCTGTAGGAACAAGACTGTAGAATCAAGTCAGCCTGGCTGGCCTGAGAGGTGTAAGCGCTCTGCACTGGCATCCCAGAGCCCTTGCAAAACAGGGTATTTAACTCTTGGTGTTTGCAAGCTGAGCCCTAGGAACTGAGCTGTAGCGCCTCGCAAGATTGCAGTGATTGCCAAGCACTGCAAGCAGCCACGCTGTACAGTAAGAATGGGGCCCTGGCTCAGCCCCGCAGCTGGCAATTGCATCAGCTCCTCCAGAAATGGAATAGGAGCCGACACGTTGCTTGCAGCCCTGCCTTCAGCCCTTCTGGGGGCCTCAAAGAGATGCCTCAAAGTGATGCCTTTCTGGGTCTGCTTTGAGCTCTAGAGGGAAGAAAAAAATATATCACTTGCACAATCTTTTTTTTTTTTAAAGAAGTACATGTTTGCTATGTTATAAAAGACTTTGCCTTTTCCTTGATTTCTCTGGGAAAGCCATGTGTGTATATGTATACAAACACATGTAAAATAGTCAGAGACAGAATGTTGAGTAGCACCAGAGTGTCCCAAACTTGCATGCATGGTAAAACTTTGTTTCCCCCTGATACCCTAATTAATTGGGATTCAGTTTACTCCTTACTTGGAGAAATATTCACATTTTATAAAGTAAGAAAGGAGAGACCTTTCTATTAGATCTTCAGCCTGTTCTAAACAGCACTTCGGGAGCTTTCCTTACCTTCTCCCACCATATGTGTTGCCAAATCTCCTGATTTGGAGAGCAGAAGGGAGACTTGAAGAATGCATTTTTCACAGTGGTAAAAGGTGAACCAAGAGACAAATGACATTGTGAGGAAACATCTGGCTTCTCTAGGTCTGACTGTCCCCACCACTGTCCTGACATGTAGAAAAGTAAGGGCACACATGGCTAGGAAGAAGGCAAGTTTCTCAAAGGCAAGACACTACTCAGAGGAAAACATTGAATGATAAAGGAATAAGAAATAAAGGACATTCTACTGTTTAGTCTGTGTCCTATAAGGACTGAATAGAACACATGCAGTGCTGGTGAGAATATAAAAAGGTACACCTACTTTGGAAAACTGGTTAGCAGTATCTTCTGTACTGAAAACAATCTACCTACTATGGTAATAATTGTTCAATTATAGTTTTGCAAAGTGCACAGAACTGCACTCTAGAAAAGTTACTATATCAAAATTGTACTTTTAAAAGCTAGTGATGTGGCTCAGTAGTAGAATACTTGGCTAAATTGCCTTTGTCTTTGTTACTGTTATAATAAAATGCCTGAGACTAGGTACATTATAAAGAAAGAGGTTTATTTAGTTCATACTTCTGGAGGTTTAAGAGCATGATGTCAGCACATGCTCAGTCCAGTGAGGGACCCATACAGAGCCTCATAGAGATGGATGGAATCACACAGTGGAGCACATTTAAAAATTATGACTATGTTTTTCACTTTCCTCAAATCCTTTAAAATGTTCCCTGGTTACCAGCTTTATCCCCAGGAGTTCTCACTAGTTGCTTGTGCTAGGCATCCTCTTTCTGGCCTCATCTGCTAATTGACTCCAATGTTGACATCCCTCTTTTCAAAATCCTTTATTCTTTTTTTTTTTTTTTTTTGGTCGTGGGGCCTGGGTTCTGTCCTTGAGCTCTTCAGCTTAAGGCCAATGCTCTACCACTTGAGTCACAGTGCCACTTCTGGTTTTTAGGTAGTTAACTGGAGATAAGAGTCTCATGGACTTTGCTCCCCCAGCTGGCTTTGAACTGTGAACCTCAGATCTCAGCCTCCTGAGTAGCTAGGATTATAGGTGTGAGCCACTGGAGCCCAGCTAAATCCTTTATTCTTTTTATCATAAAAAAAAAGTTTGGGTTTGGGGATTTAGCTAGCATAGAGTGCTTGCCTAGCAACTATAAGTCTCTGAGTCTGATCCCCAGCACAGGAAGAAAAGAGTTATTCAGGTATCCCACAAAGCCATCATTGATACCTTGAAATAATGATGCAATAAGAGAATCAAGTTGAGCAAGGTTGTCATTTGTGGTAACATCCTGAACCTTAGTTGGATCTGACACATATTTATGTAAGCTGTTATGTGCTGCTCCTGCTACTAAGAGAACTTATTATCCAAGCTAGCATTGTCTACTACTCCAAGTACTGAGCTTACTCAAGGTCAGTTATTAAGTCACTTTTGATTTTTGCTCTATCTACTCAATTCTCCAATGCAAGAGGCATGCCTGTTCAAGCTGGCTCAGGTTTTAATACTTACTGAGGAGGTCTGAGAGTACAGAAAGGAGAGCATGTCACTCTCCCACTTAAAGTCCTTCAGCAACTCCCACTGCTTTTGTGTAAGATCCAAATTATTTGCATAGACAGGCCCTCTGAAATGCTCCTTTCCAGAGTGTCATTTGTCATTACTCCATAACTCTAAGTGCTGGATACATGATAACTACTCATTCATTTCCTTGTATTGGCAGCTTCTTTTGCCTAGCACTTCCCAAGGGTTTCCCCATAATCCTCTTCCTTTTCTTGGACAACTCCCAAGAGATTCAACCAAGGAATTCTGTTCAGGGGACACTGTCCCCTTTCTGAACTACTCTGCTTACCTGCCCTAATACTGAGTTACTAAAATATATTTACTTGGGTATCCCCCTTACTAACTGGTGAATTCCTGAAGATGAGGACCACTTTTGATTTGTACCTGCAGTATAGGCATCCTAAAAAAGAAATGTCCACAGAGGCCCAACAGGTAAGACAAATACAAGGAGGCTGGATGTAGTGGAAAGTAGGTTCAAAGTCAGGAAGTCCTCCTGCTCAGCTCCATCCCCTGCAGCTCCTATGGGAATGTCAGACCAAGGCTGATGAACCCCCTGATTTTTCAGAAGGACATGAAACCTCCTGAAATCTTTGCAGAGGCTTTAAAAAAATAAATTTAAAATTTTTAAATTAAATTAAAAATGCCTAGTGGAAGAAATGAGTGCTACTTCCCACCCCCTCATGTTCATTTCCTTCCACTGCCATAACTTGGAACATTACAACTGTTCAAAACATGCCTAAAGGTCTATCTTGATCAAACTCAGGCTCACCTTAGGTCAATGTGTATAAAATGCTCCATCTCAGAGGACCCATTGCAACAATGAGATGTACAAGTCATTATGTCAAAAAACAAAGTTTACAACTTTGGTGGGGAGACAGGGGGAGGATATGAAGGGATGGGAAGGGGAAAACAAAAAACAAAAAAAATGCTCCATCTCACTGGCTCAGCAAAATGGATTGATTTGTTCTTTTGTGTGTAAAGATCCTTTGTGTAAACCTGCCAATTCTCACTATTCCTAATGGGGATAACTTTGGCTTTATTTTATACCCTGCTCAAATGGTCCACTTAAAGTTAACAGGTGCTTTACAAAAGGACTTCAGTTCAAGGCAGACTGTTAAACACCATTTTTACATTTTTCTATGGAGGACTAGGTGTTGTTGTTTTATAATCTTTGGAACCCAGTCCAAGTGGATAGCCTGGAAACAGAACATTTGGACTTAAGGGAATTTCTTTGAGATCCTGTCTCACCATATATCCCAGGCTAGCCTCAAACCCACAATCCTCTTGCCTATGTGTGTGTGCCACCACATCAGCCTAATAATTATAATGATTTTGTAGATCTTTGCCTTTCCATAGTCTTTAAGTCATCTTGTATGACTTACTATCGATTGCATCTATCCATGTGTCTATCTGTGATCACTGAATTGTTTTACAGGTTTGTTTCAAAAACAAGCTGAAATTGGCACTTATTGGCCAGAGCCTCTTTGGACAGGAAGTCTATAGTCACCTCCGAAAGGAGGGCCACCGAGTAGTTGGAGTATTCACAGTTCCAGACAAGGATGGAAAAGCTGATCCACTGGGTGAGTGCATCTGGGGATGACTAAATCAAGAGTATTCAGGTCTATGTTGGTGGTCAGAACTGAGGTAGCAGCTCTACATTTCACAACACACGTGCCCCCTATTTGTTATTATACTATGATCAAGATGGGGATTCCATCTCATGGACCAAGGTATCTGTCCTAGCCCCAACGAGGTCTTCAAGCCAACAAGCAAGAAGGGAAAGCAGAAAAGTAGAGAATGAGTCCTTCATAAAGACAATATTCTAGAAGTTGCCCATATTGTTTCCATTGATATCCTATTAGACAGAATGTAACAAAGACTAAATCTATTTGCAAGAGAGGCTGAGAAATACAGATTTTATTTGGCTTGGCTATATGTTGGGCTAAACCAAGGAAAGCCATTCTCAAAAATGAAAGAGACAACTAGCATTTTATGCTGTGGATATTGATTTTGGAATTGCAGGCATTTGACTTTTTTTTTCCTTTTGGTGACACTGACTGAGGTGTGAACCTAGGGTTTCATACTTTTTCAGCTTGCTTGTCTTGCTGGTACTCTACCCTCTACTACTCACTAGCTTTGCATTTTTGCTAGTTGTTTGGAAATGAAATCCCAAGGACTTTACAGCCCTGGATGACTTCAAGCTTTGATCCTCTGGATCTCAGCCTTCTGAGTAGCTAGGAATACAGGCATGAGCCAGTGATGTTCCACAAAGCATGACACTTTTAGACCTCATTTCAGAATGAATCCTGGGAAATGAGGTCTTCCTTGGTGCCTGGACCCAGTTCAGGATCCCCCTTCTCATTGATCATGGCAATTTGGACTTAGAATGTGACTCAGAAAAGAAAAAACCACAAACCCAAATTATTGAGTAGCCTTGGAGATGGTACCACATGTAGCTGGCAGCATGTGTTCTGAAGTTGGGGACCACTTTGGGCTCTGCCACTCACTAGCTGGGCAACCTTCATCATGTTGCTTAGTCTCATCAACCTTCAACTTAGTGCAACCAGATTCATGTATTGCGATGAAATCCACTGTGGTAATGGACGTGAAGTGCTCAGTCCTCCACCAGACTTACAATTACCAGTCAACATTGACAGTAGCTAACTACTATCATGATAGTGGACTAGGGAGGCAAAAATAGCTCCAGGCAGCCTAAAACCAAAATAGAAGATCAACATCTACCCACCTCAAGCCTCTCACAAGAAAACTCTAAAACAAACACATTTCTGTCTTTGACCCCAGTGTTCTTTTCCAAGTACCTTCTCACAATTGTCTCCCATTATCACATTGTTAAACCACTGTTTACTCACTTTTATCTAAAGCATGCATTATGCTTCTTGGACATTTTATAAGCATTCATATGTTGCGTGAACATTTTTTGTACTGGTCTCTCAAATTTGTACAAATTGACTTGTCAGGGCTTCAGGGCTTACTGAGACTTCAGAATTGAGGTTTTGTGATAATGGCATTATCTCATCCTGAGTCACTGAATTTTGGTGATTTGACAGAAGAGAAAAGAAAAGGAACTCCAGCCCAAACTTCAGGTAAAAAGTTTGGGTTAGGGTTTTTGGAAATGGCTTAGCATTAATATTATATATTCTATACTATAACCCATATGAGACTATATGTAAAGCAGAGTTTATCCACTGTTTATCTACTGTAAAATGTGTATACTACTAAGTATTACTATAGCATAATTTATAATAATGCCTGTAATCCCACTTCTACTCAGAAGGATGAAGCAGGAGGATTGCAAGTTCAAAGGCAGCCTGAACTGTATAGCAAAATCCTCTCTCAAAATACAAACAAAAAATTGAATATGCAAGGCATTGGTGGCTCACATCTGCAATCCTAGCTACTCAGGAGGCTGAGATCTGAGGATCCCACTTCAAAGCCAGTCCAGGTAGAAAAGTCCCCATGAGACTCTTTTTATTTTTTTCAGTTCTGGGGCCTAAACTCTGGGTCTAGGCACTGTCCCTCAGCTCTTCAGCTCAAGGCGAGCATTCTACTACTACAGCCACAGCACCACTTCCAGCATTTTTCTGCTTATGTAATGCTGAGGAATTGAACCCAGGGCCTCATGCATGCAAGGCAAGCACTCTACCACTGAGCCACCATCCCAGCCCCCATGAGACACTTATCACCAATTAACCACTCAAAAAGTAGCAGTGGTGCTGTGGCTCAAAGTGGTAGAGCACTAGCCTTTAGTGGAAGGGCTCAGGGGAAGAGCCCAAGCCCTGAGTTTTAGCTTTATGACTGACAAAAATTTTTGAATATAATAAGTATACTACTTAAAATATGTAATTGTTCATGTTAATAAATCATAGCATTCATGTATAATGTTCATACAAATATACTGAAGTAAATACATAAACTTACAATGTATGATTCATAGTGAAAGTGGCATTGAATTGTGGGGAAAAAATTGGTTGGTCGTGTGCTATGTACTTTGAAGGGCCATTCCATTGTCACCTGGGTTTAGAATCAGGTCCTTTAACTAGAAGGGATAATGCTTTCTTCAGGATGGAAAACTTGGTGTTCTTCATATCTCCATACTTTAGCCTCGTGCATATTCCACATTTCGGCGCTCTAGTCTAACTTCTGTTTGGTGAGGGTGGCAGAAGAAACTCTATGAGCACAAAGCTGAGCTCAGCCTCCCTTCATCTCTAAGACCCGCCTGCTTAGTAGGGAGAATATGTTGTATCCTATAGTTTGCTCTGGATGAGGAAGGGAAAGACTCAAGGTTTTCCAACAGAGTATATTTACTTTGAGGTTGAGGTATTATACTTGACTTCAGATCTAAAGCTACATTCTTTAAAAGTAATGAAAGTAACACCATCTGTCTAAAAACTAAAATCACAAACAAAATTTCAAACTTCCATTAACATTTCAAATCATTGCCTAGCCACAAGCTTTTGAGTTTAAATTCATTATGCCTCCAATACATATGTGTCACATTAGAAAAATGGATCTTGTATAATAGTTATATCAAATTCTAGTCACAATCTAAATTGCTCACCATATTTTATTTGTGAATGTTTTATGAAGCTATACAATTAAAATTCCTGAGTCAACAACAATATTAAATGAAGGCTAACTTTTCCTCTGTGTATATGCTGGTACTAGGGCTTGAAGATCCGTATGTATTCTACCACTTGAGCCACAGCTCCATTTTCAGTTTTTTGTTGGTTACTCAGAGATAAAAGATTTGTCCTCACAGTCTCCTGAGTATCTAGGATTACAGGTGTGAGCCATTCGTTCTTGACAAGACCAACTTCTTTTTTTTTTAATTTAATTTTATTTTATTTGTGAACATACTGTACAGAGGGGTTACAATTGCATGGGCAGGATAATGCGTACATTTCTTACCGAGCATTGCAGCCTCCTCCTTTGTTTACCCTTCACATCCCTTCCCAGCCTCCCCCCTCCCCCCCCCATCCCCAACCTTCTCCTTCCCCCCCTTCACCCCCTCCCCCGCACCGATGTTGTAAAGCTCGTTTTGGACATGACACCTTGTACTTCTCATTGTTGCAACAGGCAAAGACCAACTTCTAAAATCTGAAAATCATCTTCTTTTTCCTGTTTAGCTTTGGCTGCAGAGAAAGATGGAACCCCTGTGTTCAAGTTCCCTAGATGGAGAGTCAAGGGCAAGACTATCAAGGAGGTGGTGGAAGCCTACAGATCTGTAGGTGCCGAGCTAAATGTACTTCCCTTCTGTACGCAGTTCATCCCCATGGATGTTATTGACAGCCCAAGACATGGCTCCATCATTTATCACCCCTCCATCTTGCCTAGGCATAGAGGGGCTTCTGCCATCAACTGGTGAGATTGCTTTAGTAACAGACACTATGGGCCCATTTCTACTGCACATATAGTCTTATCTGTTTGTTTGTTTTTTACCAAAGTGATCAAGGTCCTGACTGATTGCTTCTATTGCATGAACTCCCCCCAGACCTAGAGATACTCATGAACCAGGACAGCCTTTCCCAATACTCTAGTTGCAGTGACGAAACCAGGTATTCCTCAAAGAAGGGTCCTGTGGTCACATAAGTTTGGTTTGTGCTAGGTTTCTTTTTTTTTTTTTTTTTTTGGTCTTGGGGCTTGAACTCTGGGCTTGGGTGCTGTCCTTGCACTCTTCAGCTCAAGGCGAGTGCTCTACCGCTTGAGGCACAGCACCACTTCTGGTTTTCTAGTGGTTTATTGGAGATAAGGGTCTCACGGAGTTTCCTGCCTGGGCTGGCTTTGAACCATGATCCTCAGAGCTCAGCCTCCTGAGTAGCTAGGATTACAGGCATGAGCCACTGGCACCCGGCTAGGTTTCTTTATTGTAGGACTTCCCTGAGCTTTTGATATATGCCTTCATCTGAGCATCCTGACTTCCAAGAAGGAATCTGAGTACACCACATTCCCTAACATATTTGACCACAGAATTTTTTTTTGCCCAGAATATCTCAAGTACATTAGAAAATACTGAATTGCTTCCATTGCCCATCTTCTTTTATTGGACTTTAAGCTTCTTTAGCAAGATTTTTTCTAACATTTTAATGGATTTTTTTGGGTACATCAGTCCTGGGGTTAAATTTAGGGCTTAGGCACTGTCCCTTAGGTTTTTCACTCAAGGATCTCATACTACCACTTTAGCTATAGCTCTACATTCACCTTTTTTATGGTCAAGTGGGGATAAGAGTCTCAAAGACTCTCTTGCCCAGGTTGGCTGCAAACTGAAATTGCTAGCTCTTAGCCTCCTGAGTAGCTGTCAGCCATCAGTGCCTGGCTAATTCCTCAGTATTTCTGAATGGAGTAATTTATTGAGTGATTGATTTAGGTCTTGCTTGGTCATTAGTTCAGAAAAGTATTAGTGACTTAGATCATGGACATTACTGATTTACCACTTCAAACTCTCTATATTAGTCTAATCTATGTTTATAGGTATATGGTCAGAATATTCAACTTCTTGTTGGATAATTAGCTCCTGTGGGAGCTTTCTCTTAGGTAAGCTATATAGAACACAAAATATAAATAGGTAAATTAATTAGCTGATTTAGATTCTAATCCTAAGTGAAGTTTATACTTTAATTATGCAACCTAAATTAACAATATTCTCAATATTGCACTGAGTATCCTGTACTTTACTCCCATTCTTATTCCACATAATACAAGACACAGTAGAATTTAGGAACTGGACTTGAATAGTAAGATTGATGGTGAAGGAGAAACTGACTCCTGTGAGTCAAAGTGGTAATAATGATGGGCTCTAATGCCTTTTTAAGTCATTTTATATATGTTACTATGAAAGATTAAAGACAGGATACATTAAGTAGTGGTTCCATTAGGTACCTCCGAGCTCTATTATAATTTCTTTTTTTTTTTTTTTTTGTCGGTCGTGGGGCTTGAACTCTGGGCCTGGGCGCTGTCCCTCAGCTCTTCAGCTCAAGGCGAGGGCTCTACCACTTGAGCTACAGCGCCACTTCCGGTTTTCTGGTGGTTTATTGGAGATAGGAGTCTCACAGTCTCTCCTGCCCAGGCTGGCTTTGAACCGCGATCCTCAGATCTCAGCCTCCTGAGTAGCTAGGATTACAGGCGTGAGCCACCAGCACCCGGCTTCTATTATAATTTCTTAAGGTCATTTCATTCACTATCTGCTCTTCCATTTTAACTTTTTAAAACTTCCTTAATACCACTAACTCTTCCCTTGATTATATAACCAACATTTAAAATTGATAATATTCTTTTCACAGGACTCTGGTTATGGGAGATAAGAAAGCTGGATTTTCGGTTTTCTGGGCTGATGATGGTTTAGATACAGGACCCATCCTTCTTCAGAGATCATGTGACGTCGAACCCAATGATACAGTGGATACACTTTATAATCGATTCCTCTTTCCTGAAGGAATCAAGGCCATGGTCAGTATGTTAATGCCATCAAGAAAAAGTTAGTAAATACTTAAAATTTGGGAAATACTTACCTTTCATTCAAAACATACCAAGCCAGTCCCACAGTGATGCAGACCTATATTCCCAGCCCTCAGGAGGCTGCAGCAGGAGGACTGAGAGTTTGAGGTCAACTTCAGCTACATAGCCCAAGCTATGTATGGTTAAAACAAAACAAAACAAAAGTGGTATTTGCCATGTGAATGGTCACTAAAATTATAAAGCTTAAAAACACAATTAGTATACTTAGGGTAGAAATCTGAATTTGAATATTTCTTAGTCTGTGACACTGATTCATTCCCCTTAGGGCAGTAATTAAGAAAGAAATTAGACTGCTCTGTTACTCTTCATCAAATTTCTATCCCTGTTTATGATGACTGTTAAGTATACAGAACCTTAGGATATTTTTCTACATAATTTTGACTTCCTTTAAAGATAATTTGAATTTGTGGCAAGGTGAAATTGTGTTGTTGTTTTATTAATTCAGATGTGCCCTGAGCAAAAAAAAAAAAATATCCCAAAGCATTGGGCTGGGAAGGTGGCTCAGTGGTAGAGCACTTGCCTTGCATGCCTGAGGCCCTGGGTTCGATTCCTCAGCACCACATAAGAAAAAAGAAAACCGGAAGTGGCGCTGTGGCTCAAGTGGTAGAGCGCCAGCCTTGAGCTGAAGAGCTGAGGGACAGCGCCCAGGCCCAGAGTTCAGGCCCCATGACCAGACCCCCCCCAAAAAAAATCCCAAAGCATGTATGCAGTGAAGTAGAAATATTAAGCCTATTGAAAGGTTCAGCAATAACTCACATGTCATTTAATTTTTCCCCAGGGTTAGGTAGTAGAAGTAGCAAAATTATACAACATAGTTGCCATTGATGTGGGAGGGAGGAGAGCAAAGCTTTATGGAAGGATTCAGAGAGGGCTTTGGTGTCAAAAAGATCTATCTTTGAGTTCACATTCTTCTACTAGTACAAAGACACTTTGTTGTTATATGACAATAGGCAAGTCACTCAGTTTCTTTAGCCCTGGTTCCCTCATTTATAAAATATAGACAGTATGGTGTTGATCTGTAGGCCTGTAATGAAAAGTAATATTATTTGAGTAAAGTATCTAGCACACAGCAGATGCTTGAAAATGACAATTACGGTCAAAATACCTTACGTGTGTTCAAGTGGCATTTTCTCAAGCCTACATACTATATCTAATGGCTTTATGATAGATCTTCGTGGAATGAGCTGTATGCTTGTCTTTCTTCTTGGGAACACTATTGAGAAGCTGCGAGTCCTTAGAGAGAGATCTGCAAGTGTGTTCTTTCCTAGGCCTCCCAGAATGCATCTCAAGGCAATCAAACATGGTAGAGAAGAGAAGAGAATTCCCTCCCAAAGGGAATCACAGCTGTGGATGGATTGTAACTTCTTTAATTAGTATTCCAGGGGTCCTAAGCTGTAAAGCAAGTTGAAATAAATACAACAATTTATCATTTTCTACAAGCACCATTATGAGTTCAATGATTTTATTGTATATGTGTGTCAGTACTGAGGCTTGAATACAGGGCCTGAGTACTGTTCCTCAAAGCTAAGCTGTTCCTTAGCTTTTTTGCTCAAGGCTAGCACTCTACCACTTGAACCATGCCTCTGATTCCACATTTTTGGTGATCAATTGGAGTTAAGAGTCTCACAGATTTCCCTAACCAGGTTGGTTTCAAACCTTGATTCTCAGATCTCAGCTTCCTAAGTAGCTAAAATTACAGGTATAAGCTTGGATGAGTAAGATGACTTTTAAAAAATAATAATATTATGGAAATTTCCTTTGAATCACTCAAGAGAAATTGAGGTTAGCACACACACATGTACACACATGCCCACGCATGTGTACACGTGTGTGTGTGTGTGTGTTACTAGGGATTGAACCTAGGACTTTAGATATGCTAAATGGCTTATTCTACTACTGTGCTGCCACTCCCCAGCTCCAAAAGGGAGCTTTTCATGTGTGGTTACTGGGGTTTGAACTTGGGGCCTCAAGCTAGTTAAGCAGGTGCTTTACTGTAGAATCATACCTCCAGCTATGTTTTTGCTGGCTTTTTGAAAATAGGGTTTTGCCTCTTGCCTAAGCATGAGCTGGGCCATGTTATACCTATGTTACTCTTCTTGTCATAGCTAGGGTTACAGGCATTTGTCACCACATCCAGCTGCCCATTAAGAAGGGGTCTCATGAGCTTTTCTGGCCTCAAACTAAGATCCTCCCAATCTCAGCCTCTCAAGTAGCTAGGATTATAGACATGAGCCACCAGTGCCCAGCTGAAGGGTGTCTGTTTTTTGAATGAAGGCTTGATATTGGCAGCAGATTAACCTGGATTGCAAACTATCCATTAGGTATCTCTGACCTGGTACTAATTGTTCAGCTTGTCCCTGATCTACAGCTTCTCCATCTGTAAAACAGGAATGAAGATGTCCATTTTGAAGGATTCCTGTGATGTTTGTAAGGGATATTTTACATAAGGTGGTTACCACCCTTGTGCTTGACATCTTGACAGAGCTGAAGAAATACACTCAGAATGGATTATACATAGTAATTCTGTTAGGCACAAACTTAAGTTAAATGGACCATGCCACTGGGTCTCTGGGCTGTAACACAGATTACATTTTCTGCTTTAGGTAGAAGCTGTCCAACTCATAGCTGATGGAAAAGCTCCTCGGATATCCCAACCAAAGGAGGGGGCAACATATGAAGGTATCCAGAAAAAGGAAAATGCTGAGGTATTTCTATCAACTCAATAACACATCTCAAGTTCACAACCCTTTGCCTTTGAGAGATTTCTAATGTACTGTTTCATAGCCAAATGATCAACCTCCAAGTCAGCCTGCCCACCCCCTTCCACCACTTTGTGTCTTTGAGATTTATATCCTGTATTTGTGCTTGCCTAGATTTCTTGGGATCAGTCTGCTGAAGTTTTACATAACTGGATTCGGGGTCATGATAAAGTACCTGGAGCCTGGACAAAGATAAATGGGCAGGTATTGATCGATCAATTGATTGATTCAGTTTATTTATTTGCTTATTTACTTTGTAGTATGAAGAATCAATGGAACCCAGGGCCTTGCATGTGATGGGCAAATGTTCAACACCCACAGCACTTTTTACTTTTATTTGAGATGGGATCTTGTTGAGTTGCCCAGGTTGGCCTCAAACTCAGGATCTTTCTGCCTCAGGCTCTTATAGATATGTGCTATCATGACTGTCTTCATACTCTTTCTGAGAGGTATTAGAAAGAAGTCTAGGTTTTCCCTAATTATTATCTTTGGGTGTAAGTAGAATTTGTGATCTTCCCCCTTCTTCTTTGCTTTTTCTTTTCTTTCTTTTTTTTGGGTGGGGGTCCGGTCGTGGGGCCTGAACTCTGGGCCTGGGTGCTGTCCCTTAGCTCTTCAGCTCAAGGCTAGCACTCTACCACTTGAGCCACAGCGCCACTTCTGGCGTTTTTCTTTTTTGCTTATGTGGTGCTGAGGAAT